TTAAATAGACATGTTTCTCAAAATGTATTCAATGAAAAATAATGAACTTCCAAAGTGAAAATGAAAGCATCTCTGAGTGAGTGTGACAGCATTGCTATCAGACAGTGTAGGCACACTGTACAGCAGGGCTATTCAATTGGCGGCCCGCGGGCCAAATCCAGCCCCAGGGTGATATTTACTGGCCCTTGGAGTATAATGTTCTCCACATCTCTGCGTGAATGATTAGATAATTTCACCTAAATGAAATCAAATGAAATCATGTTGATGGTTAAATTAGCTTCACATGTAGGCCTACTGAGTTCTGAACTTGCCATTTAGATCTATAAAGGCCTTGGGGCTATGTTGTTTGATTTAGTTAAACGCAATATGCACTCCACTATGCTGTTGTAGTATTTACTGTATCTGAAGCTCTTAATATGATTTCTCATATTTCAAGCCATCGTTTTCCCGGCCCCTTGCTTTGGATCATTTTCATCAACCGGCCCCCGTTCCAAACTAATTGAATAGCCCTGGCCTACATATTACCAATATTGATAGGAGATAAAGTGAAACACAGCAGAAAAATAAGTGAACCACCTTTTTTAGGTAACAGTCTGATGTAATAGATAAACACATAATCAACTCAACTGCTTTGTTTATTAAGATCCTATAAAAACAAGTACACTCAAACAATAATTTTGACCTTTAGTTCTCTCTTATTTTCAAGACACATTTTCTGTTTTATTCCTTGTTCTTTTACGTCATTTTCTGGGAAGGCCCGTAGAGAGGATACATCTCTTGAAAGGCTCAAATAATCTGTCAGGTGTCTTGACCTACAGACATGACCTCTTGAGAGACCTATTAGACCTTCCTAAAATTAACCTGGGACCCATTTCTCTTGTGTACTGCTTAGTCACAGCACGAGTAAGCAAAAGTAAGCAAGGCTTTAATGCCATGAAATGTTCTACAGATGTTCAAGTTCTTGGAGGATGAATACTGGTGACTGTGAAGATCCCTTCACTTTGCATCTATTGCCACCATTGGATGAACATTTAACGTTGAAGTCAAATGTACTTTACATTGTTCCCAGAGGATGATTCCTGATGACCGTGATAATCCTTGCTGAATTGCCTAATTTTTTTGATAACACCAGTCTTGTTTTTTCGCAAGAAATATCGAGGTTTGAGTGTTAACAATTTGTCTTTGCCCTGCATAAACACTAGAAGGGTGTGACGCTTGGTTGTTGGAGTCGGACAAAGAGATTGGATATCAAAAGGATCTCAACGAGGACACCGGAGGTACGTATTGATACCTCGTGTAAATGCAATCGGGTTACAACATGTTTTATTTAGTTATTTATTTGGGTAAATCAACTTTTGGTCTACTTAGTACCAAATAACCAGAATTCAGTTTCATATAATTATCACAATTTGTTATGCAGCTCTATATTGTGTCATTTAATGAGCATTCGTGTTTCAATTCATTCAAATTCTATTAACTTTGCGCAACAGGAACCCTTTCCAATAACAAGGTCTCCAGCTGCCTTGGACTTCTCCTTTACCCCCTAACATCCTTCTTCCCGTTCTCTCACTCTCACTTCCTCACCTGTCAGAGGTGGAATGTCGCTGGCGGATACAGTCCTCCAGGGTCCGACTCCTGACAGACGCAGCGATGCTCAGTCAAAACATTTCCCAGCTCCTGTTCAAGAAGCAGCCTGAAACAAGCAACAGCAGCCATATCTGCAGGACACAACAGAATGAAACGATGCACTTGGGCATGATAAACTGAATACTGGTGCATGCTGTTTACAGCGGAGGTAAAAAGAACAATGCTGATAGGCACATCACAATAAACCTTATGTATTGCAGACATTCTTTGTTCCTGCTACATCTCACTCTCTAAAGAGGCAGAGATGCTTGAAACCTTTCCGTCGGGTGTCTGTATTTATAAGCAGCTGTTACATTTAAATGTAAAGTCAAGAAGTGAAGTCTGGCTATAACATTGACATTGAATTTACATTTATACGTAGTACCTCAGTTTAATGGCACTTTCATACTCTTTAATTACTTTTTTCAATACACATGTCATAGTATCAACGTGAAAGTTAAGAGTTGGACACTGTTGGAGATGTTTAGATTTATAAAACGTTCATGTCAGTTTGCAGATGGAGACATCACAGTTGGATGAGAATGGAGATTACTGTTTAAATTGGTCCCGTCTACTAAATCTACTATGATTTATACAACCTACATTAAATTTGATATTAAACTTTTGCTTTTCTCATTTAAAGATCCTTTCAGACACTATTCCCCTCTGTCAATAAAAAGCATTAAAGGGGAGAACCCAAGAAACCTTCCCCCTGGGAGAGAGGTTCTGTGGATCCACTCTGCCCGCAGTCTGCTCTCTGCTTAGGCCGATCGGTGTGGCAGCTTTCCAGCTCTCAGCAGGAAAGGAAGTGGCTCTCAGGGGCAGTGCTCAATTCGCCCTCTACTGGGCGGAAGTCAAGCCTCAATGAGGCCGTCAGTCGAATAGGTCATGCTGTCAGAGCGCACCAGAGTTCACATCCTCTCATTAGACAGCAATACTTCCAACATCCCTTCACTTGTTAAAAACTAAAGTCAGTGGAATTGGTCTGAATTGCGCCCGTGACAAAACAGGCTTATGTTGATGGGATTGTGCAGGTGTAGTCAGGTTGACAGTGTTTGGTGTGTATGTATTTTGACTTTTTCCATACACACCAACCCATCAAGTGCACACACTCACACATTGCCTTCCTATCAGTTTACACCCATTTGTAGAAGACATAAAGATTCCCAGCTGCTGGTGTGTGAGAAGTGTGTGCTGCGATGTTCGTTTACAGGTTGTTGTGTTCCGATACTGAAACATCGAGTATTGATATAATCAAAGTCAGCAGAATGATAAAAAATTATCTCTGAAGCCAGTTTAGAACAAAACCAACTTCATTCTAATTGTTTTCTAATGTTTTATAGTTGCAAGTGGTCATCTCATATTTTGTATGCTTCATAACTGAAATTAAGAACCCATTGTTCTCCACATATTCTAGGAACATAGATGTACTGAATACTGAACTAAATGTACCTGAAATTCCACACTATAACCTTAAAACTCTAACTTTCTGAATGTAACGCAGGAACAAAATACTCACACAAGCCGTATTCAACAAACAAGCATAAACTTTATTTGTTAAAACAAGTATATAGAGTTTCTGTATTACATCTTTCATCTTGCTAGATTGTGGTTTTATACATTTACCAACAGTGGTTTAGAAAGGCAACTCCTTATGGAAACAATGGCATATGTATACAATACAAATGAGCAAACATATCAAAATCAGTTTTTACAACTTTTGTAGCAACCAATTTTTTCTATTGGTGTGCCATAGTGCAAACTGTGTTGTTGGTGAGACAGAGTTTAAGCATGATCTCAAAATTCACACATCTCATTTCCTCTGTCTTAAACACATTCTTTATTTGTAGGCTGCATTCATTGTGCCTTCAGTTCAAGTCCTTCCTGTCCAGTCATGTGAATTTACAATCAGAATAGTTCAAGTGTGTCGGGCAGGTCAGGCTATTGTGTAGGAGAGTGAAGATAATGCTGAGCAAGAACACTCCTTGGTCGGGTTTGTACACAAAGACGTGTTGAGACCTTTAGTGGTGCTTCACACAGGTGGAACATTGTTTATAGGAATGGTCAACCACAACACATTTAAGTTTGATCCTATGCTAGAAAGATGATTTTCCAAATTACTTATGTTGCAATGTTTGACCAGGGTTATTTAAGAGGCTATAAAAAGAATCAGTTTTCATATTTTTATCGACTCCTATGAACCTTTGTGTTCCACCAGAATGAAATACCACTCTAAAAGTCTCCAAAAACTTTTAAAAAGTGAAGAGTTTTACTCTAACATGATTATCGAGCATCACACAGCTTAGCAGAGAGTTTAACAGCTTGTATGAGTGGAGTGGATGGCGTATGAGTATAATCTGTCGGCATGTGGATATAAATGGACAGCACAGAATACAGAGGAAAACAAGTTTTGAATAACTTTGATCCTTTCTACATTCACTCCAAGGTCCAGCAGGTGTGTGTGTGTGTGTGTGTGTTTTCCACAGCCATTTGACCTGAAGCCTCTATGGCTAAGATTTCAAGGGGTGGAAAGAAAAGTAAGAGCTGTGGCGGGTGTGAAAGCGCTGCCCTGCCGAAGGTCAGGCTGTTTCTAATCTGGTTCTATTGCACCGTGTTCTGCAGGAAAGCATTGGAGCTGGTGGGTTGGTTGTGTCAAAAAGTCTGAAGATGGAGGGCGGACTGAGCTGTGCCGTCCCCCGTCCTTCTCGCCAGGATCTCCGTTCCAACTCAAGAGCATCCACAACGATCCACCACCATGGAAGGGATCTTGCCGTAGATGATCTGTTCTTTTCGGTTAAAGTAGAGCATGTTGATGGGCGACATCTTGGTGGGGGTGCAGCAAGGGCCTGCGGTCCCTCTGGGGTTGGCCTTGTTCACCAGGTGGGTGTGCGGATACTTCTGCAAGTGCATGTACTCACACTCCCCGGAGCAATAGTTGGCCTTGTAGCGCTTTGGGGCAATAATCCAGTCCCAGCCAAAGTCTTCAAAGTCCACAGTGAGCGGGTAGCGGCAGCAGCGGGACTCGGGAGAGTTCTCGTCACAGTCCAGGCCCGAGTCTCTCCTGAGGCGCTTGGGGCCCTCAGAGATCTTCACCTCCATGAACGGTTGCTAAAAACGAGAGATCATGTGTGAATAGACATCAGCTGGGTTGCAGAAAAGGAAGGCGGGTGACAGCATTAATTTTACATCTTTTACTTTGGTGCCCTTTGGCAGCTGGTTTTCAAACACGGCACGGTAATATTATGAAACTTTGACTTTTTTAGGAAATTAAATCATACGATGGTTGGTTAGCCACAGCCGTCGAGGTATTCTAATTGCCCCAGAGCCCGGTGCCAGCTTTTGAGCTGTATGATAAGTGTTTGTCATTGATAGCAACTGTGTGTGTGTGTGTGTGTGTGTGTGTGTGTGTGTGTGTGTGTGTGTGTGTGTGTGTGTGTGTGTGTGTCTGTCTGTCTGTGTGTGTGTGTGTGTGTGTGTCTGTCTGTGCTGGCAATTAGTCTGATTTGCACAGTCACACAGAACACTTTGAGGAATGTGGGGGGCAGGTGAACTTGTATGTAATCAAGCAATAAGATTTGAGGTTATTGTGGGCCGGGCATGTGTCCAAATGCAGGTGTGCACCTGCATGGAGTCTGTGTTGATTAACAGCTTTCAAAAGTCTTAAATCTTGATTCCCTTTCCGAGCAGTGAGATGCATGAATGTTTAACCACCTGCTGACTCTGCAAAGCCTCTCTGCACACTACTGCCTCAGGGCAGTAAGATACAGAATCCAAAATGTCTCTTTAAACAGAGTTAGAACTGGACTTTTAGAAATGAGCGATTGATGATCTGGTCCCAGATCTAATTCATCTGTTACAGCAGTAAATATAACATTTGGTGATGAGACACACGGCTTGTTATCCCTTTAAGTAAAACAAACTTGACCACAATCTTACAGTTCAATGTACATTAAAGTTTATCTCACCAGTCCTTCCTCTCCAGGCTCTGTGGAGGTCACGGCCAGATCATTTCCCCGCGAATCGAATGCGTTAATCTCGATGCCCCAGTTGGTCTCCGGCTGCCGCAGCCACACTGCCAGAACCTGTTTGACGTCTATACTCTGCCAAGAGCTGACCCCGGCATTCACGTCGATCTTCAGGGAGCGGATGCGTATGTGCCTGCTCCCGTCTGTGACCGGCATCAGGCGGGAGATCTGCAGGAACACCGTGGTCGCCTCGTCCGCAGGGCGCAGATGCACCCATAGCTGAGCGCGCACTATGCGGTTGGCTTGAAACTTTTGAGCAAAAGAGAAAAAGCAGCACTTTGGTTCCCCATCCACTTGGGCGACGGACTCGGCTGCAGAAAAGAAAGAGACAGAAAAACCTTTACAGACAGAAAATAGACATTCTTAACACGACATTTAAACTCTAGAAGTGGGCTGTTACAGTTTTAAAACCCTGACATTTGTGCGCGTAATGACCTGGCGTAATGACGCACCGACCCTTACAACAGTTTCAAATATAGATAATGTTGATACTTGCACACTTTTATTATCAAAATCAGCTGAAATTACGCGTTAAAAATGAACTGTGTCTCCCGTGCGGTCAGTCCCGTGTGTAAATCCCATGTTGGAGACGTCTGAGCGCGTCCTTCTTATTATTCAAAAAAACCAACGAAATAAAGACTTACGTTCAGTGGCTATCATCATCATCGTCTCCGTGGTGGCATGCTCGTCGTCCTCCTCCATAACCACCTCTCTGTTGTCATCTCCCAGCACGTCGTACTGGTCGAGGAGCTGCTGCAGCGGCGGCGCTTTGGGCAGTAGCTGCTTCACGATGTCTCGGCTAATGTTCGGAGCTTCTTTCATCCGCAGTTTGCTCAAAATCTGAGATTTAATCGCGTTTAGTCTCATGGTTTTGATCTGCTGCCGGACATCGCAGGTGGCGCACTGCTCCGCGTCCTCCGCGTCCTCCGGGTTAGAGGCGGAGGGCTGCTGGTGCGGCTCTTGGTCACTCAGAACTACTGGACCCAAAGCAATGAGCAGGCTGAGATACAGCACAATCTGAGACAGATGCATTGTCTCTTAGGTGTTTGAGTTAAAAGGATCCCTGGGTGTGTGCTGGACCTGATGCGCGAGCGGACTGGGGTGGATTAATGTCCCACAATGATAGGCATCATACTTTATCAGCGCACACCTTTTTATACTCCAACTTTAGCCTCTTTTGTGTCGTCAAAAACTATGATTGGCTGGACAGGCAACAATGAATTTTAACCGACTGACATGAACACTTTTTTTCGTTGTCAAACCATAAAGGGATGGAGGCTGTGAGCATGTGCAACACGTGTCCGCAGATACACAAATTCACTTTTCTAGCACGGATTGCGCAATGAGCGGAGAGGCGCCCACGGACTGTTTGCGTTATATGTAACGTTTAGATGAACCTGATGGAGTTACATCACCACACATTAACACCAGACAACCAAATGTGGACTTCATAAATGGAAGTAGCACCATACTCGGATTAGAGTGTAGCCTAATACGTGTTTGAGTTCGCACGTTGAGAAAGATACAACCTAAAATGTTTGTGTCAAAAGTGTTTTAACAGTGAACTCTGAGGACAGGCATGTGCGGCTGGACCAGCATGTACATGGAAATACATTTTATTAAGAGCTTTTATTTGAATTTATAAACATAATGTTATAGTATTTCTTCAAAATTGTTATTCAAATGTTCTTCTATTTTATAGTTATGTTTCTTGATTTGTGGATGGGCTTTTATTTGTATACACGTATACACATGCATACATTTACAATTTTTGTAAACTCCCTTTCAAGTCTTTTTATACCATTATTGGCCCATGTCAATTCGAAACAGATGCATCCTTCCATGTTCAGGATTTAAAAAATAAATCAGCAACGATAAATAAAGAAACCTTAATCCTCTTGTTTAAATCGTTGTTGGTGAAACCAGGCAGTAGAATATGAGAGGATAGCGCCACCGTGTGGCAAGGACACATAATCGTGACACCTGTCATCATCAACAACAAGCAGTCACATGGCGACCTGAACATGGGTGGAGAAATGAAATACAGTCAGGAACAGAGCCAATCTTCGAACACTTGGCTAGATAAATTGATAGAAGGGATTGATAAACCATTTACTCTTATAAACACATCTGAATGTACAAAAGGCTACTAAATACATAATGTAAAGAAATAATTAATATTGTACAAATGTTTTTAAATGTTGTAACATTTTTCCTGATATTTTCAAAATTCTATATGATTGCTTTTTTAAATTCTTCCTGTTATTCGACATTATATGCTATGACTTTTTCAAAAAACAATACCAGGTTTTTGTCATGATCATTTCAATATTCTACTTTTTACCTAGTACTATAATGTTTTTGTTCCTATTTACCAACATATTATACATACATACTGTCTTTAATTTGACATGGTGTACTATGACTTTAATTTACCTTTTCAAAACATACTATACTTTTACTTTTTCAACATCATTTGACATGCTATACTATAACTTTATGCATCATATTTACAACCTACTATGTAACATAGTATGACTTTTCCACGGTTTTTTATTTTTCATTTTTATACCATGACTTTTTTTTCATGATAATCTACTTTCATATTATACTTCGACTTTTCTCTTCATTTTTGGTCCGTTTAATTACATTTCAACACACTACACTATACATGTTTTAATGATATTTTCAACATATAGGATATACTTTACTCTGGCTTTATTATTACATTACATGTTAGACGCTTTTATCCAAAGCAACTTACATACTCAATACTCTGGACAATCCCCAGAGGAGCAATTTGGGGTGAAGTGTCTGGCCCAGGAACACAACGACATGCTGACTGCAGTGGGGTTTGAACCTGTGACCTCCTGATCCAAACACCAACGCACAACCCACTTCACCACACGCCTCCACATACCATACAATAGATTTGTCAACATTATTTGCTTTGACTTTTATTAAAGATAGTTTTACCATACTATACAAATGTATACTTTTTTATTTCATGTATTACTACAAACACTATTTGTTGACATACTATGCCAAGACTTTTTCATGATATTTCCAACGTTCTTATACTCTCTTGTTTTTCAAACCTTTTGAATTTCACAACATAAAGATGGTGGCATTCAATGTGACTGCATCTCAGCGGTCGCTTGTATAGTTTATTATGTGTTCTCTTTGGCTAAGCTCCAATACACCTTAGTATTACTTAGTATTATAGTCCAGGTTGCAATATAACGGCTATCATTCACTCAGTGTCTGTTGTTTACTAACTTAGTAAACAGTTACCAACGGCTATCATTCACTCAGTGTCTGTTGTTTACTAACTTAGTAAACAACAGACACTGAGTGAATGATAGCCGTTATATTGCAACCTGGACTATCCATTTATTCATTTCTAAGATCAATTAAGTAGCCTAATATACCCAGTAATAAAAGCAAACTAAACACATAATGGGAGAGCTGTTTAAAGAGAGTAAAGGCAATATACAGAACCTAAAACTTAACTGAAAATGTGTAACTCTTGTAGCCAGAGTGATGAGTAGGCCTACAGTTAAGGACCTAAGAGCTTAGATCTGAATAAACACATTTTCTTATGTATTTATTGTCAAAGCATTAAATGTATTCATTGCTATCGGGATGTTAAGAGCATTCCATGGAATATGACAAAGAGTGTTTCTCAAGTGAATTACCTACCCCACCTTTAAGAACAATGGTTATAAGAGGCGCATATAACCATTGCCAGGTGGCAGTGGCAGTACTTACTGAGTACTGCCACCTGGCGGACTCAGTAAATCCGCCAGGTGGCAGTGTGGCTCCAGTCCGCCGCGGTGCTCCCTCAGAGCCGACGTGTGTCAGTGCGCAGCGGCCGGACTCTCCTCCTCCTGAGCGCCGCTGCAGCTTCGGGAGTTCCCGGAGAGACAGTCAGAATGCAGCCGGATCACAGCTGACCTCTCCCTCCGCTGAGCAGCTCCTCTCCACCGGGGTGAAGGCAACAGGGAGCCCGTCTGCCGGCCCGGATCCCCCCCCCCCACAGAGATTATTTTTGCAATCTGGTGTGGAGCTCTTCATGCTGCAGAAACAGAAACAGGGAGCAGCAACTTTAAATAATTTTGTTTCTCACACAAACGTGCAAGTCAACCCGCTTGGATAGTGTTTGGAGAGCGGAGGAGGAGGGAGGGGATGCGGCGCGGCAGCACCTGATGTCTGGACAATCTTTTATTTGAACGACCTTGGGTTCTACTCCTCTCTCTGGATTCTTTTTTTTTTGTCGGAATGGAGAACAAGCAGCCGCATTAGCCACACTCATTTAAAAGTATGTACAGCTACAGTATCACACTCATCCTGTTGACATGTTTAATCTCATGTTTGCTTTTCCCACTGAGGCTCAGTTTGTGTTTTTCAAACAGTAATTTGGTTTAATCCAAATCCCAGCATGTCTGACAGATATTGGATGCTCCCACAATTGAGGTGTATCAACATTGAGATGTTTTACAGGAATATAACAGAGGGTTTTGTGAGTGCACCTCCAAAATGTTGTTTGACTGAGGGAGACTCCCTGCTGACATGATTCACAGCCTGGTGTTGTGCAGCTTTTTTTTTAATGAAGCACATGTTTGCAGAGTGTTCCAGGGCCTGTAGTCCTGGAGCCTGTCAGTGCAGATGGAGAGTCAGGTTTACAGCAGCACAGCACCAGGGCACTCAGATAGAGACAGGCGTTCCCGTGCAATGCAATACAAATTAGGGCGAGGAATTGAGGCACTGTGAGGTGGGGGGGATGAGTAACACTTGATGTGCAGAGCAGCAGTTCAAAAGTGACCCTGCAGAGGTGAGGCCTTGACCTGGGCTTGGGTCATACAGCTCCTGGTATGCTAACTGATGTAAAATAAATGACTGAAATCCTCCCTCTATAGGTTACTTATAATCTTTTGTTATTTTATTTATTTATTTTCATTTTATTCCAGTTTTATTCAGTCCTACATTGGTATTACGTTTTCTTTCACAAAGCTATGTGTTACTCTGGTTATTACTTTTGTGGGGAGATAGTATTGTTTCTTTTATTTGTAAATTCAACATTCAAAGGCTTTATTGTTATATGATCAGTGTAGATATGGCAATGAAAATGTTAAGTCCCAGGCTCCTTCAACAATGCATCCTAAATATATGACATTAAACAATAAAACAAATTAAAAAAAACAATAAAAATAGTGCAAGAAGAACAGAGTGCAAGATTATGTTGCAAGAACAACGTGCAAGTAATTGAGGTAAAGTAAACTATTTACATTTCAGTAAAAGTAAATAAATACAATTTGCTAAATAATGCAGAGAATTATGAAAGTGAACAAGTAATGCAGGAGTCTTAAGACATGTATATAGGATAAGATAAGAAGAAGCAGCAGTCCTATAGCCTGAGGCTTGTCTACGTGTCTGCTTTATGAAGCAGTTCACTTTGAGAATGAAAAGTTCTATACTGTAAATACAAAGGTCAAATGTACGATTGAGGGTCTTTGAGCATGTTTTACGGTGTTGTTGTGTATTTATGAAAATAATTTGATCGCAGGTTCCTCAACAGTGCGTTTACAAGACATTAAAAACAACATGTGTCCTTGTTTGATGAAGCTGCTGTAATGCAAGTACAATTTCAGACGTTTAGTATAAATAAAGCTTGATTTGATCTGTTTGACTCTTTCTCTCTGCAGTTGCAATGAGGTTTCAGCAGGAAGCGAGAAGGTTCACGCAGGGATGGGCCCCCAGCACCTTCTAGATCTCCCCCTCTAATGTGTCTCACATGTTCAGACATGGACGGGAGGGGGAGTGGATAACAGGAGCGCAGTGAGGGCGAGGGGAAGCATAGAGCTGAGCTGACCGTTAAAACTTCCATGTGTGACATCTCACTCAAAGTCTCTCCCACCCTACAGTAAGGCAAGGCAAGTTTATACAGCACCTGTCAACACACGGCAATTCAAATGCGGATACATTTAATAAAATGGCATTTAACAGGAAAAAACTCTCATTAAAAAGCAAAGAGAATATAATAAACATAGATCCAGCTAATATAGAATAACACAGGTTTTATACAGCGCAGTGTAAGATATGAGTAGTTCAATTAAAAGAAGCGGAAAAAAGTCTTAAAATGTAGTAAGAGTTGTAGCGGACCTGCAGTTCTCTGGGAGTTTTTTCCAGATATTTGGAGCATAATAACTGAACGCTGCTTCTCCATGTTAGCAGCAGAGCCTTCACAGAAGACCTGAGAGTTCTGGATCTTTCATAATGTATTTTGGGCCTAAACCATTCAGTGCTTTATAAACCAGCAGCAGTATTTTGAAATCAATTATTTGACACACAGGAAGCCAGTGTAAAGACTTCAGAACAGGACTGATGTGATCCACTTTCTCAGTGTTAGTGAGGACTCGAGCAGCAGCGTTCTGAATCAGCTGCAGCTTTCTAATGGCGCATTTCCACTGCAGTGGGTAGCCCCGTTTAAGCGTCCTTAAGCGTCCTCAAGCGGCCAGGCCAGTTTTTGGTGGCCTTTCCATATAGCGTAGCACCGGCTAGCGCTAGCCGGTACTTTTTCCCTCTTTTTCCGGCCCCTTAAAATCGTGGTTCTATCAGGTCAGGGCCAGGGCTGAACTAGTGACGTCAACACTCTTGACTGCTGATTGGTCAGAGAGAATCGTCACAATATCGCGCGCGAGATCATCCCTAGCGTCAAGGTACGCTCACTTCTAACAAAGAAGTCTATTTTATCTTTACATTAATTTTCGACAACCCATGCTTTTATGGAGCCCCGAAGAGCTACATAGCTAGCTAAGGCAGATAGCCTAGGCAGATAGCCTTAGCTAGAGCTATTGTTTGCTAACACCATATGTGCCATTGTTTACTTTCAGTTTTTCTTTTCTCCCTTATCGCCCCGCCTACACTGCGTTAATACCCCAGGTCCTAAACTGTAATGGAAATGCGCCACGGCCTCGGACGGCCAGCGAGGTAGCCCGAGGCCTGAGCGAGGACGCTTAGGGACGCTTAAACGGGGCTACCCCGCTGCAGTGGAAATGTGCCATAATAGATGTTTTAGTCTAAAACATCTATTATGGCACATTTCCACTGCAGCGGGGTAGCCCCGTTTAAGCGTCCCTAAGCGTCCTCGCTCAGGCCTCGGGCTACCTCGCTGGCCGNGCAGGCGTCTTCGTACGCTTTTAACACACCATCGTAGCGATGTCGATGTTTCAGGTGACTAATCAGGTTGGAAGTATTATAGCTCGTTGCCTTTTTCCCTCCTTGTGGAACTTCCGCATTGCATTTGTTAATACAAATAGCAAGCGAACTATCTAACTCTGAAACTTGGAAATAGTCCCATACTACCGACAACATGTTTTTTTACTGTCCTGTCTTCACGGCCGCACACCATTTACGTCACAGCCAGGCATGAGTTAGGGAGCGCTGGATTTGTGAAAAACTCCCCTCTTCCTAAATCACTAATACCACAGTACTGGCAAAATGGGAGGAGCCGAGTGAAAAACAAGCACCCCTCATCCCAATCCACCCACACCGCAGTATTTTTTTCTTTTCTTTTACCCAAAAAATATATTTTATATTATCGGGGCTATTAATACTTTTATCGGGTTTATCGGGATGACGTCATAATTCCTAATATCGGGCCGATAATTATCGGGCCGATAATTATCGTGCACCACTAATTATTATACAGAGAACAGAGTCGTTATCAATTTGTTTAAAGCTCAATAAATAACAAAGAAGACCTCTGACCGGCACTTTTCTAATTTTGTATGTTGACCGGCAAAAAAAAATGATAACGGAAACTCTGCCGCACAGTTCCCTCGTCCCTTGGAAGAGGCGGAGAGGTGGGTGTTTTTCATCTACTGGTGGACTACCGGAGAGATATATAGCAGGAGAACACGCCGTCCACCGTGGAGAATAAACAGAAGGGCGACCATGCTCCGGGGTCTTCTTCGCTGCTTTGGTGTATTTTGTGGCGGCAGCAGCGCCACTTACAGGCCTGGCATATGTACTACAGCGTTTCCAGCATTTCCAGCGGTCTCGTGTGAACGGACATGTTAATGAATCGAATGCGTGTGAACGGAAGACTTTTTTGCGATTGCGTATGCGTTTTACCGTATGAGTCCTCGTGGGTCCGGGGCCTCAGACAGTCTTTAAACTCCAGTCTGTTTGTCTGTGTTTGTTTCTGTGCTGAGCACCTAATCATAACACCTAATCATAACACCTGTGTGTGTAAGCCCAGAGATCGAAGGTTACCATGGTGACGACGTTATCAAACACCTGTGTACGTGAGCCCAGAGATCAAAGGTTTCCATGGAGATGTGCTGTGAAAGGAGAGCCTTTCCATTGTTCTGAATGAGAAATAAACCTCTTACATTTCTAACTATAGTTTAAAAACGGTAGCTGCTTTCGTAAAATGACAATGCGTGGAGGATGTCAGGACCGTGAGAAGCGTCGGAATCTGCTTTTTGTGTATTTTCGGGTCGATAATGTGGCATTTTTGGCAGATGTACTAAAGCTGCTGCTCTGAGGACAGATCAGGCTTGATGTACAATGGGCCTTAATGGAGACATGTTGAACGTTTTTGTCACTTAATGTCCTCAGGAGGCATTTTGTTTAATTTTTTTTCTTAATTTTTCAATGTATGAGAGGTTTTCCTACGTTTTTCACAACAAATGATGTCCAAGGAGTGTAGGGTTTGGGAATTATGGCAGTTTTTAAGGTGAATTTCAAGCTCTCCTCCACTCTAGCTGTGACATCACGCACTCTAAGCCTTAACGAGCTGCGCAATACACACTCATGTTAAAATCTGAAGAAGGCCTCTTTACCAAGCTCCAAACTAAGTTAAATATCTCAAAAAGTGTAAAATGTATAAAAGATCTGAAAAATAAGTTTTATAGCTGAAGGTCTTGTGACCATGTTAAAGTTGGAATGGATTCTATAGCTAAAAGTATGTGGAAGGATTTGAAGGTTCCTCCCATTGAGTTACATGTTAAAAAAAGAGTTTAAAAAGCTGAATATTTCAAAAAGTATAAAAAATTTGAATTCGAAGAACTATAGTGGAATGCTGTAAACAGCATTCGCACTAATTAAGAATTACGCAGTCTTTACAGAGTAAGTAAAATACAAGCAGCAGCAGAGCTCTTTAATTCAATTATTAATTATCCTCAAGCAATGTAAAATAACGGCTTCCACACCTTAATGAAGCAATCCTGTGAATTCAGTCTGTTAAAGCGAATTTGCTCCATCCTAGCAGAGGAAATCATTTTGGATAGCCATCTCCTGAAGCACGGAGCTTGTGAGACTTCCAGTAAGTAGAATACATTTTTTAGCTGCAATCTTACCAATTTTGAGCGACTGCCTTTGATGGGCGGGGAGGCCTCTTGTCTCCTCAGAGCAACCAAATATTGCCAACTTACAGTCCGGTTTAATGTTTACTTTCCATTGTTTTGAAAGCCAATCAAATACTTCACACCAAAAATTATTCAGTACCGGACAGTGCCAAAATAGGTGTGATAACGACCCTCATCTGTCGCAAATGGGGGAAACAGATTGAATTTCTTACTTAGCTTGGTTTTAGAGAAGTGAAGCCTGTGTAGGACTTTAAACTGAATTGATATGTGTTTAGAATGTATAGAACAATTATGTATACTGGACTGTCCCTCTCCCCATAGCTCAGAAATTCTGACATTTCTGAAGAGGATTAGTCAGTTCTTCAAAGAGTTTCCTCAGTGAGAAGTATTGACTGTAGTCACCATGATGTCACACAATTCCTTCTTTTTTTTTCATCTTAAGGCTCAGGAAAATAAATGTAAAAATAAAGGAACTTTAATTGGATGGAAGAAAGCATAGCTTATTAACAAAAAAGCCCTCCTGAGAGTTAACCAATAACATTGTTTTGAAACAAGCTTCAAAACCTTAAAAAAAAAAAAAGATTTAAGGTCTCAAGGTAAGAATTGAACAAAGTCATGTACAGAGGCTGAAATTGTAATGCAAAACATGAGAAACAAGAGAAAAGAGTTCATATAGAGTCCAGACTGGACTGTGGGCTGCCATAAAGTCTCGAGTCGGGCCTTTTGGACGTCACCATCTGTGTTTTTTGGAGACAGAAGTGATTATATTTTATTTTAAAATGATGGACTGAATATAGCCTAGTTGTTTGTAAAAACAAACACAGTCCACTGCACACAAATATGCAGATTTATAAAATGTCCTGCCTTTATTTGAACAGATCCCGGAGCTGGAGAAGGAGCTGGTGGACCTGAAGTCTCCCTCTGCTGAAGACATCTCCAGAGTGCTGGACTCCTACCAGAACCAGGTCAGAACCCTAACACGTGTACCACTGACATTCAACTACAAATATCCAGAGCAGCTTCAGTAGGCACAGAGTTTTCCTGTGAACGCCTCGCAGCAGATGTCTGATGATGGTTCTCTCCACAGAGCGCTCTGGGTGCTGACAAGCCTTTCGTGTTGGAGCAGCACATGTCTGACATTAACAGGTAGGCTTCAGTTCCTCTTCTCTGTTACTCTGGGACTATTGTGAGCTGTTGGTTTGGTTTTCATTCAATATCTGTATTTATTTCTATACTATTAACTTTAAATATAGGAAACACCAGAGGCTGTACATGACGGTATATGCATTTAAAACACCTAAATATTCATCACTTATATTGCTCTACATTCACAGATGCTTATTTGACTTCATTACAGATAATTAACCCTCCTCATGTTCGTTTTGAAATATAATATAAATCCTTTTTTTGACAACAATTGAGCTAATACTTATCTCTACAGTTATTATAATAAATACTTTGTTAGATTGGGACTATTTGCAGGTTTATTGCCTAAAGGGCCTTATGCTTTAAGGATAGACTTATAAGACACTGAAAGCGGGAAGATGTGTTATTGAGGAAACTTTTGATGCCCCCCCCCCCCCCCCTTCAGGCTGTTCAGCTCCAGCAGTGTGGAGGGCATCGTGCAGAACCTGAAGGCAGAGGGCTCAGAGTTCGCTAACACACAGGCAAAGGTACAGTATGATGATTTATATTCAGAACTCGTGTCATTTTCAAGCTGTAATAGCGAAACAATGACCAGTTTACAGATAATGTAATTACCCTTTGCTAATGTTACATTTTTGGAAATGTAAAGAAATATGCTTTTTATCTCATAAGTAATGTGTGCAAGTGTTCAAAAGGATAATGTTATCATTTCATGTTGTCCTACTGTAAACAGACACTGACACAGATTTCATGCTTGGACATGTTTACTCGTTGAGGGTGAAAAGTGCAATGCTTATTTTGAAATGACCCACCAGAAACCTTATCGGTAAGAATGAGAAACAACTAAACAACCTCTGAAAATGGCCACTGGCAACCATGACTGCTGAATTTTTGTTTGTTGTTTATCTCGTGTTTTTGGTATTTTTTCGTTCTTTTATTATTTTTTCCTTCCTCTGTTCTATAGACCGACCCGTGCAAACGCCCCACAACGGCCAAAACACTTCCTTTAGGAGAACCGCGCTGCAGTTTCAGAAACGAAGCGAATAAAAAAAAAAAAATGTTCCAAAACATGCAAAAGAAGAAACATCTTCACCGACTTCACAGCACTTGTGGAGCACTTAGAAAACAATCACCAGCTTGAGAACACATGTGCAACGTTATAATCCCAAAATGTCACCAAGCGCTCACAGTTTTTTTATTTGATTTGTTTATTAAACTGCATCATGTCTTTCCTAATGGGAATGTTCTGAACCGTTGTAGTGCGTTGCACCTGTCGGCCATCACCGTTCTGGGCTACAAAAGTCACAAGCTAGTATGTGTTGAATATACACATAAAAACTCAATACATATGAAAGTTTAAACCATAAGATACGACAATATCAGTTAGGAGTTTCTATTACACTTTTGGTCAATTTAGATTGTGACACTGGGTGCTTTACCGATTCTGCTTTTCTCTGATTTAGTTTATCACATCGTCTTCACTCAGTTGAGATGTAACCTGGTAGAAGGGCGTATCATCTTATGTAACAGTGCACATGCCCCAGCTTACACCCCACCCCCTCCACCCACTCCAGGATTAATCATACAGCTGGTATCTCTTATTTTCTGTTTATTTGATCTGTAATATTTAAAATATGTTCATGTTGAAGAACTGTTCTGATGCTTAACTTAAATCCCCTGCTGCTTCCCTTCAGCTGGGTTCAACAAACATGTTTTCCTGTTTTCTTTCAAACCGTGAAACTCTGAACAAGAGCCAGTGGGGGGTCAGCTCAGGCATCAAATATTTATTATAAACCCACTTCCTCAGTTACTACTACACCACTGACTCACTGCCCCGCCTTGTGCATTAAACATTCATAGCTGTCTCTGTCTTCTTTCCCCAGTATTATTGTATATTATATTATAGTTGTGTCACCACCTCTCTGTCTGAGTCTCTAACACAGAAGTGTCTCCTCCTGCAGACGCTGTCCAGGATGTCCCCCACCTCCCTGAAGATCACCTACAGACAGCTGCAGGCGGGGGCTGCTCTGAGCCTGCAGGACGTGCTGGTGATGGAGTATAGGCTGAGCCAGGCCTGCATGGTAAAACCCAACACACTCATTTCCAGTTCATTCACTCGTTCATAATTGGGTAGGATTGGCCAATGATTGCATTCATTAACGTATTAATTTGCATTTATTTTCGTTTAAATGTCTGTTTTAATCATTTTAAAGGTACAGTCACCCAAACATTTCAGAAAATCATATTTCTAATATAACCGCTAGTGCTATTTCTATATTTATTGATTTTGTAATTTTATTTTCACTAATCAACAACATAACAGCATTGTAATCTACCCCCCAAATATCCCATCACCATTTTCTTAAAGTTTTTAAATGTATATACAATTATAAATCTTAATATAAACTCAATGCACATACAGTCAGTAATAACGTAGAGGTTAATTATTTCTTGTTCTTGAGTTGTAAATGTAACATTCATTTTCTTGGTAAATGTTTTAAAGAACTTTATTTATTGAAGGGATCTTTTATGACCCGTTAAAGTTTGTTATCAGTGATGGCTCTGATATGAAGTGCATGTTGTAAACTCAAAGTGTAAAAACATTAGATTTTAAAAATCAAGAAGTCATCACTCGGTTACTCACGATAATGATAAATGGACTGTACTTACATCGCGCTTTATCAGGTCTTTACGACCCCACAAAGCGCGTCACATACTACCAGTCATCGTTCACACCTCCCTCTCACAGAGCAGTGCACCTGCTCAAGGCTGCGGGATTAACTGGGTTTCAGTATTTTGCCCAAGGATACATCGACATGTTGACCACAAACGCTGGGAACAAACCGACCACCTTCTGATTGAAAGACGACCACTTCAGAGCCACAGTCGCCCCAATTATCCAATATATACTGTTTGTAGTCCAAATGATCATTGTTTTTAATCATAACACCTTGTTGTGAGCATTCTAAAATAGGAAATATTTTCCTTTTACTGTATAACCTCGCAGCAGGAAGAGCACCACTCAGAGGCTCCCTCACTGGCGAGTGTAGTTTGGTAGAAAGAAAGTAGTTCCTACATGAAACAATCTCTGCAGATTATCATGAGTAACTGGATCATGATTTCTAGATAAAGACATTGCTGATCAGTTTTTAAAATGAAGCTTTTGAGAAGAACAACTTTAGTGCCGTATAGTTTTATTATACTGCTGAGAGGTCAGACTGGAAGATATCTCCAACATTCAGTGACTCACACTAATCTGAATTGATCAAATGTATTTATGATTTTGGGATGAACCGTCCCTTTAATATCAGTTATACTGACATTAAACTCTTAATGCAAAGTTATATCTTTTAATGAATGCAATTCCGGTGCCTTAACTGGCAGAGAAATTGCTTATTCTCCCATTCCTTTCCTATAATGATTACTTTTTCTTTTTTAAGTGAAAAATATAAAAACAAAGCTGGATGATGATAATAGCACAGCTGTTTTAGATGAGCTATTATTTCATCTGCTGGAGTAAACCATAAGAGGATTGAGTCTCATGGGAGTGTTTGTTGTTTTGCAGAGAGGCTGCGACTTCTATGAAGGTGTGCGATCCGGTAAGTCACTGCAGTGAATTTCAGTTTAGCATAGTTTAACACGGCTTGCACTATTGATTTTAAAGGGTTAAGAAAGAATCATTAAATATTATTCTGCATTGCTTGACATCATTTGATTCTTTTTTACGTTGTGATTTTCTTTGTGTCTCCAGTGCTGATTGACAAGGACCAGAATCCCAAGTGGAACCCGTCCACACTGGAGGAGGTGTCGGAGGAGAGCGTGGAGCAGTGCTTCTCCTCTCTGGGGGAGAAAGACCTGATGCTCTGATGCTGAACACTTCATACCCACCACCAAGATCCCCCCCCACCCACCCCTAGTGTGTGCTCGGCCCTGTGAGAGGGCTGTACTACATAAACTTACGTACTCTGACTCTATATCTTTAAATACTGTACTGACACCTTACAGGCAAATTCAAGCTGCTCCTCTGCAGTGGAGGAAAAGAGAAGAAGGTCTGATTCATGTTCACAAATCTAAAATAGTAGCAGAAGAGGTAGTGAGCAGCTGCCCTGTGTCACACATGAGAAATGTTTGGAGTAAACTGGCTCTGCAGAGTGTTTTGTACAGCAGTAACTCTCTTTTGCTGCAAATGCAAGGGATGTGCCGCACAGCAGCATAAACAGGAATACATGGAGGAGCGATGATCTCACCGCTGAGTGCTTTATTACATTTCCTGTGGGTGTTTGTTGATGTGACTTGGATCCGTTTCATCTGATCTTCTGCAGTGTGGTCACTCAGTCTAATGCAGATCATGTATCTATTTCTCCCTTTTTGTTTTGTCCAGTATTTTTCCATTTTCAGTGGAATACTTAGAAGTGTATCAGTGTTCTGAAGAGGGCTGCATGATTTGAAATAAATTACTGATATAGCGGCTGCACTATAGGAGGGATTGATCATTTTAGCATTATTATTCCCTTTAGCATCGAAAGATTTATTAAAATGATCATGATTTGATTTTTTTTTTCCTCACAAATATGTGTTGTTTAGTCTGTAGAATACTATTTGGAGGCCCGGATATCTCCGCATCTCATTCAAATGTTATTTTAACATATATTTAACCTTTAACCAATATTGTGGTTCCTGCAGTTTGAACATCGAGCAAGTCCATGTTGTGATTTCGATACAATTCCAATTAATTGCGTAGCCCTATTTCTGGAGGCATTAACATGATTGTTATATGACAAATACAGTTCTGTATGTGTGTGATAGTTTGTGTTTTTAAAGTTGACTAAATCGCTGTTTTTCAGTAGGTATCCCGATACATTACAAGCGGGCAATAAAGACAGTTGGTAATGTAACATCAAGTTTTCTTGTTGAGTGTGAAAGAACTTCATTTATTCAGGCTGGGTGCTTTATGACCTGTTATAGTTTATCAGCAGCAGCTCAGATAAGAAGTCTACAAAGGAAACTTTTATTGCAGTTGCATGTTGGGTAATAAACCTTTAGTGTTGGCAACAGTTTTCTCCACCTGCATCACATTCAGTCTGACTCTATTACACTTATTTTAATATTAGCCTCTTAAGTGTGAGCAGGAAATGAGAGTAACAGATTACATGTGACAGGATACTAAAAACGGTATCTGTATTCCATTGCAGTTACAGAAAAAATATCTAATCGGATTACTGTTACAATTTAAAATAATTGAATTACGAGCAGGATTACAATTCTAAAATACATTTTTTAAATAAAGTACCAAATATTATGAAACGCGCACCTGTATTTGTTCTTTGTAAACTTTAGTTTGTGTCTTGCACTTTCATTGTTGACTAATGTTTGAAAATGCTAATCGAAAGGCCGTTTTTGTGGATAATCTTTTTATTTAAAATATCTTTATTTTTATTTTTTTGACGTTACATTGCTCCTTTGTCTTACAGAATACGCTTCAGTAAAGCTATGTTATTGATATTAATGTTCTATTGTCCTAATTTGACATTAAGGAAGACAAAAAGTTATTACGCTACTTTAATTCTGTGATTAGGTTACTGATAACATTTTTTAACAGGTCATTTTAACGGACAACATTTTTAGTAACCCTCCCACTCTGTTTGTGTTTCATATTCGAGCAGCAGTGAGACAGTCTGACCTCCACATGCTTTATGACCAACGAGCTGCCATAAACAGAGACTCTTCCTGTCTGCGTCACAGATAAACTCCTCTCTGCTTCAAACAGCTGCTGGCCAGCAGTCTCTTGTAAATCCTTCGGTTTGCTCTTCATCAAGCTGAACTTTAAACCGGTGTGTGTTCACTCAACAGTTATAAACAAACACTGTAAGGGGACACTCAGGTTGGAAGCACCTCAGAGAGGTTGTTCGGTAGCCGTTTAGTAAATAATCTCCAGGTACTCCAATGAAAGAAGGCATAACTCTTATTTATTGGCATCAGTTTTCACACATACTGTATGTACAATAAATTAACATTGGGTTAAAGTCACACCTTTTAAGTTATTAATGATGATATGTTCAAAGGCCGATGTGTTTCATTTTACCGCTGATTCCCAGGGGGCATTTCTCACTCCTTTGGCAGCAGATAAGGAGTGTGAAGAGAGCAGGTGAGTCCTGCCCCTGCTTATCTGTGTGTGTTCCTCTTTATAGACAGCCACACCCCCCTGCTGCTGTTTTTGGGTCACTTTGTAAAACACAGAGAAGTATCTGTTTCTGGCTAATTGTGGCCTGACTTTAGACAAGCTTCTTGAAACTTTGATATAATAAAAGGATTAGGACATTGTTTAAAAAATGTTCACAGATCAGTCAATTGCTTGAATTTTCCAAATATTGTTAGTAATGTAGGTTAACAGGTTAAATGTTACTGTTGGTGTGGCTGCCAAACGTCTGATAAGTAACTATTTAAACAATAAATCGATTGAGAGAAAACAAATTGCAACCACTTGTAATAATCAATTATTTGTTTTGATAGTTTCTAAGCTAATGAATTGATGCTTTGTTGTCATATATTTTAGTAAACTTAACATCCATGGGACGTTACATTTATTTGTATTATAAATCAATTGTTGGACACAATTTGTGACCGATTTTCTATGAAATGTCAGAAATCGTTGAATAAAACCAGCTATTCTGACATTTTATAGACACAGTTATTAGAGGGTTAAGCCCTTATTGAATTGACTAGCAAAGGCAGACCCTGCACCTCCTGATGAATACGTCCTAAATGTTGGTGGCATATTTACCAGCATCCCCCATCTCTGTGGAAACACCTGCTGGTATTAAACCATTCAAGATGTGTGACCTTTAATATAACAAATCACGGTTCCAATACGGAAGCAGAGAGAGCCGAAGTCCCTCCGTTTCCGGTGGAACTCCATGGGACCTTATTTCGGAATGTATTGAAGTCAATGCAGAGAGAAAAGTTATCTTTCGATCCCGTTTGAATTGTGCCATGTCTGCACATATGATGTTTTTCAATTTAAAAGATAATTTTGCAAGTAAAAAAATATATATTGTCGTAAAACTGTGAAGTAACACTTTTTTTATGAAACCGCTCAATGTACTACATCTCTGGTCTTTAGTCCCTCTCTCTTGTCTTTCTCTCCTTTCTTTTCTTTGAAAGCCTGACTTTGTGAGTCGTTGAGACATGGTTCACAGTAAGTACTAGCATCCCTGCTCCTAACATGCTCTCACTCTCTGCTAGAAAGTGCAATTTTTTTCTTAATGTTCTAAGATTGTTTGGGCCCCCGTGGTGAGGGTGTTTGGGGTGGCCAATAGGGTGGCCAGGATTCAGCTGGGGGTGGCCACGGCCACTCCCAGCTCCGCCACTGCTTACGGAACCGATTAACTCCCCTTTTGTGTAATAGCAGCTCTCAACATGCCCAGACTGTAATGATTTCCACCTCATTTAATACTTTTCACCTCATTCTGGTGTTGGTGACGTGTATTGTGCGAGACCAGAGATGTAGTTCATTGAGCGGTTTCACACACAAATAAGTGTAACTTCAAAGTTTTACGACAAACTGTGACTTTTTTTACTTGGAAAAGATTTTTTAAGATTGACAAACATCATATGTGTAATTCATGTCACAATTCAAACGGGACTGAAAGATAACTTTTCTCTCGCCATTGATTTCAATACATAATCTTTCCGAATTAAGGTCCCATGGAGTTCCACCGGAAAGGGAGGGACTTCGGCTCTCTATTGGCAGCCTTTCAATGGCCGTTACTCAATGTCGAGTATACCTGCTGCAGAGCCACTATTTCAAGTATATTACGTCATCGAGTGGCGCCGAATGCTGGGCATTTAACATGCATCGATGACGTAGTATACTTGAAATAGTGGCTCTGCAGCAGCTCTACTTGACATTGAGAAACGGCCAATCAGTGGTAAAAGCCTCAAAAGGAAGACGGATGTTGGATGAAGATAGGCGTTCACAGAGAAGCAGATTTTAAACCGTTTTTTTTAACACTAACGGCTGTTTGAAGGAAAATCTAATACAAACCTCAGACCTGATCTTTGCAAGAGTTACAGAAACTGAATCTTTTATGAACTTTTAAACTTTTAGCAGTGATCACATCACAGTAGAGCCTGATATCAATCAATTCAGATATATAGCATAAGAAATAAATGTGTCGTTTTAAAATGTCCCATTATCCTCCAGCATGTGGACTATAAAACTGATCCAACGTCCACACTCTCTTCACACTGCAACCAGCTCTTGTGCTATTGAAACAGGCCTTTCGTTTTATTTTAACTCAAAATGTACAGAACACAACAGACAATCACCTTTATCATTTGATGTAAAACTAAACAAATGGCCTCAGATTAAGCATGAGGAGTATGGCGGGTCATCCCTAATCTCCAGTGTGTTCACAACATGTTTGGGACAACCCTAGCAGATTAATCTGTCAATGCGGATTATGTTTTAGGAGTTGATAAGAGTGACGTGTGTGGAGGCGATCATATGAAGTTCTTTTGGAGAAATAAATCATTACCTTGTGAACCCATTAATAGAGATAGCATTTTAGCACTTCCGAGCTCCCTTGTCTTGAAGTCGATGTTTTTTAAATTACTTTTTGTTATGATTCCTGAAATAAGATATGTGGTCAACACACGATGTCTTAAGCTTTTTTACGTGTCTCAAAAATGTTGGTTACTATCAACTGGCTAATTGAGACTTCTAAACGTCATCATGTCGAACATTAGCCACTTTTAGCTTAGCGGAGGTGAAGTAAAGAGGGAGCAAGATTTGTATTTGCTTATTTCTGGCGATTGCATTTGCGCTTCTATTATAAAAGTGGTGTTAATATGTGGAGCATATCTTGCAGTATATCATAAACGTGTGTTTGCCACAGAGATTATTTCCTGCATATAACAAAATCCAATGGAGAAATCTCATTGCTTTTTGTTGAGGAAGCTCTTGCAATTGCAAAAAGGGTCTGCCTACAGAAATACGTCCTCACTGCACCCTCTATGATGCTCCTCTTCACTAGAATAACCGTTTGACATCTCCAGTAGTTAGATTTCCAAAATACAATCTGTATCAACTGTGTGATACCTTGTTGTTTGCCAGTTTTCTGTCAATACAGTAACTGTGACGGAAAAGGCAAGTGGAGGGAAAGACTTCAACCACTGTTTTATATGGCTTATTGGCTTGTGTTGGAGTATTTACTTGCAATTTGTATTTCTATTATGCATCCTACTTATAATACTTTATAATCTGCTTATAGCACTGTCATATAGTTATGAGCACCCATAAATATATGAATACAGCTTTATAACAAAAATAACACATAATGCATTTGCTGATGACTTTTATCATTATACTTTATAAATACTGCTCACTCACTGACTCTTTTTTTGTAAGTACAATAATAAATTCCCATTGTTGTGAAACATTATAATGCTCGATCTGTTATCTATCCTTAGGAATAGACAGATATAATATATTACAAGCTGCTTAAAATTCATTTTAAAATAGTCTTTTTTTTTAAGGTATGTAAAAAAGTCTAAAGCTTAATGAATGACCAGCATTTCAAATATATTATTTTGACACATGACCTTAATCATTAGAAAATGCTTTATGTATGATGTTCATTGTCTTAAAGCATTATGAATATTCACGAGGACTTTTGACCTAATAATAGAGTGCTATAAGCAGATTAAAAGTGTGATTAAAATGTTTTATAGACATTGAAAGTATTCTCATATTCACTGATTCCTACTGCTGTAATGATATTTAATAATTATGTGGCAGTTTAAGTGTGTCCTCTATCATGTGCAGTACAGACAAGCTAGCAATAATAATTGAATTCTGGGCAAATCCCAATGACATCATTTAGAACATTTGTGCACAGAGCTGA